AATCTGCTTGGGAATAGCTTCAAAAAATAATTGATTATGCTTATGGATTAGCTTCCTTTTACAGATGGAGAAGGTTTAGTTTGCTTATGTGTGGTGATAGGAAAAGACAGGATTAGTCGGGCCAGACAGTCTAACCACCTCCCTGTGAGCCTCATTATAATGAGGCAAGAAACAGAACAATTATTGGACAGATTCATTCATAGAAAGAGCTAGTTGGCTCTTGGGCTTGTTGGGAAACAAAGGCTGATAAGCTTGTGAGACTTAAAGGCTCTGTGCAGAAGGATGATGAAGTAGGTATGAGTAATGCAGCGAGCAGATAGAGAGCAGATACACAAAGCTGCCTCATTACAACAGTTCTCTTGTGAGCTATTAGATACCTTTTCCTTCTGGCAAAGGATGACACTGCGTGGTCCAGGTCCCAGATATGTCCTGAGCTTAGTGCAGCATCTTGAAGACCAACTGTCTTTCCTCTTTGGCTCTTTGTCACAACCAATCATCTAGAAATAACTGGTGTCAACAGCCTGTCCTATTGAGTGGGTTTTCAGCATTGTCTTGCTTATCCAAACAATATTAAGACAAGAAAGAGGTTAAAGGTATCTCTAAGCAGGAGGCAGAGTTAATTACCAAGCATGGATTCAACATGGGACAGCTGAAATCTTCCTTGAGTGAATCACTGAGTCACTCTGTGGCTCAGTAGCTTTATCTCCAAATGGAGTTCCTAATAAAAACCCATCCAAACATGAGCATGAGTTAACAGGAGGCCAATAGGCACACCTAGAACTAAGCAACTCTCACTTCAGTAGAGCAATGAGATCTTTTTAAACTGACTTCATCTGGTATATGATACTCCAGTCTGTAATTGTTACCTTTCAGAAAACTGATAAAGTCAGACAGGGGAATTTTGCAAGTGAGACTGAAGAACCTGTGTGAAATCCATTTGCTGAGTCTGATGAGCAGAAAAGTAAATTATTTTCCTAGCTTAATCTTTCCTCTTTTCAATGCCATGGATTTTCAAGACTTTAAAGCCTGGTGAAGGAAAATATTATTTTACACAATGCATAATTTATCCTCAGACTTGGCAGAGCAATATTAAAAAAAATAAATGAGGAGACATTTATTTGAACAGGGGGCAGATCTTAAGTATTTGGGATTAAGATAATCATACAGAGTATAAGAAGCCTCAAAAACATAGACAGGAAATCTGAATGAACATTAACTGTAGGAACTGGAATACTGAACTTTCCCTGCCCTATGAGGAAGAGAGCTTGGTGATTTCCTTAACCTCAATCTGTGTGAATTAAGTCATCTATATGATGCTGACAGCTCTCAACTCTTTGCAGCAGAGACTATCTGCTCCACTCAAGAGTGAAATCTTGGCTGTCACTCTCAACAGAAAATACTGAACAGAGAGGACATCATACATGTCCCTCAATGATTTCAGCCAGGACACATCAATTGACAGGTCAGTGTGGTCCAGTGGTTGTGGCTTTGAGGGGAAGGTCATGGCACTCCATTGATTTTTTATGGTTGGACCCTGTGATCTTAAAGGTCTCTTCCAACCACTATGATTCTGTGATTCTTAATTCCTATCTGACCACCTTCTGCTCTGTGCTCCTGCAGTATTTCACATGACAGTCCTGGTTGTAGAAAGATTTTACACGTGATGATAGATGACCAGCCACTGGGAAATCTCTTGTTCTGTGAGTGCTTTTTAGATAGACAGATACAGCCTTGTGGCTGCAGCTGTTTTACCAGTGCCAAGTTCACTTTAAATAACAGAAAAATATGGGCTGCTTCGATCTGCACTCTTTTTTCTTTCCTTCCTAGACCTCCTTCTATGGTTTTTGAGACTTGTCAGTCAAAAGGTCCATCAAGATGGCAAGTGCCTATGACCCTGCTTGCAACAAGGGAACAGGGCGGTTTTCATGCAGAAATTCTCTGAGTGAGCCAAACAAACTATATGATTGTTTTTGCTGGCAAATGTGAGAGGAGCAGAGGTGTGGCTGGGACCAGGCTTGCCTGATGCTGAGGTCTGGGTGCTTTTCAGAGTCACTGGACAGAGAGGAGTCCTTTAGCATCTGTTGGATGACAGAATAAAAGAATGAAGATTACACCAAGACTTCATTATCCTAACCTCTGTCTCTCATGGGCAGGAGTACTGCAAAGGTGACTCTCCATGCCTTTCTATCCAGACATTGCCACCAGCATGGTGACTTATTTATCCTCATCTTACAGATTCAGATTATATTTTCAGCTTCAGAATTGCTCTAGAATTAAATGACTAATCCATTTTTGTCAGCCTGCAGGTAGTTCCACAACAGCCCCTTGCCTGACACCACAAAAGCTCAACAAATCAAAAATTACTAGGTAGACCCTGTGTAAATCTCCCAGCTCCAAAGGAGAGGTGGCACAAATGACCTTATTGGTTCAAGTTATAGAATAAATGTAGAAATAGGGTTGAGTATCACGTGTGTGCAGTGAAGATTTTAAATCTTGCTAGTCTTGCTCAATTTAATGAGTGTTTTTCAAAATGTTTCAGAGTTCAGGTTTTGTTCAAATAAACGTCCCACGTATTTGAACCCCGTGAGACTGAAAACCTCAGCCACGAGTCTCATGTGACTTTCTTATGAGATTTCCAGCTTTTCTGCTTCTGGTTTTGGCTTGAAGTACCATGAGAATATTTTTTTCATGGTATTTCAACACTTCTAGTTTCAAATTCTAGACTTTATTGAAAAACCCTAAGAAAAGCTTTAAGGGGTGGGGTGGGTTTCTGATTTAAACTAAAAATGGGATAATGCTACAGATTTGCTGTCTGTGAATGCATGCTTTTGGAAATAAATAAGAGTTTGGACCCAGAGGTTTGATTTAAATTCTTCTCTAATGTTTGGGACATTCTGTATCATTCTTATGTGGTGTTCATGTGGAAGAACAAATAACTATTGGCTTCAGCTAATCAGCTAAACTAGGTATTTCATTTTAGAAGAAGAGGTAGACAGTGCCATTCACTGGCCCACCAACACAACAAAAGCTTAATGGTCTGAAAAACACTGTGCTTCCAAATTAAAGTATCTTCTCAATGTCTTCAGGACCACTGTAGGCTGAGTTGAGAACTGTGAGCTTCATTTTCCCTATCCCTATCAGATTTAACTTTTGCAAATTGTCCCATAATGTTTTAGCTGCAAATTTGTGTTTGTAGGAGGAAAGATAAATAAATAAAAGATACAGAAGACTGCAATTCTCTTGACATTGGGGACTTAATACTGAATGAGAGACGAATAAACAATGATTCCTTATCAATAATATCAAGGTGTCCTTTCAAGGCCCTATCCTGTAAAAGGATAACCTTCTCTCAAGCCCTTTCCCTTTCCAAGCCAGTAGATATTCAGCACAGGAGCTGACACTGAGACATGAGTAAAGGATAATGTGTTGTTTCAAGAAACTGCATTCTTACTTGGCAGGCTCAGGAGGAGTTATGACAAGAGCTGCTTATTTCTAATATTGTACAGAGAATTCCTCCCACTATTTCTTCCAGATGCTGAACAGCTCATTTATTTATTTATTTGGATTAGCTATATTAAAATATAACATGCTTCCAAATGCTTTTCTCCCACATTCCCAAAGGATGGCACTTTCTCATGGGGATGTATATCCAGAAGTCATTTAACATGCTCAACTCCCACTGTTCAGAACAAGGGTAAAGTTCCTGACTCCAGAGTACCAGGATCTCGTGGAAAGCTGAGAGCTCTTGGTATTGAAGGAGTCAGAAAAGGAATGTGGCATAACACTGGGCAGGGAGACAGCAAAATGTCTGCAGCTTTTCCAGTGACTGTGGCACTGATCTGACTAGCAAGCACCTGAGCAAGGAATTATTGAGACTTTCAGTAGATCCCTGCTGGGCTCAGAACAAAGAAAACAAATGGATGAGTGAAAGTGACCTCTTTGAGCATTATTTAATGATGACTTACCTAGTTTTGAATTTTATTAGACCTGCATGAAAGCACAGAGACCTTCCAAACAAACCCAGGATACATGCAAGGTTTTTTGGGGTTTTTTTTGGTTTTTTTTTCTGGAGATTGGGGAGGTTGGTTGTACAAAAAGTAAAAGTTCTGGCTGGTCTCTGAAGCTCAGTGGAGTACAGATACGTGGATCAAGTTTTCCTTGGCAATGGAGTTTACTGAAACTCCAAGCAGGGCAAGAGCAGAGAGAATGATGTTGCTGTGCCCCGTGAGCTGAAGTGACTGCTTTTCCAGACAGGTTGAGAACAAGCAGCCTTGTGGGCATTACAAATGACCAAATCCCCACCTGGTGCAGCCCAGGAATGAGGACCAAGGAGGCTGCCCAGCTGAAGATGCAAATCCAAAGAGCTGCCTGTCCTTTTCACCAAGCCAGGACCTGGACACAAACCAAAGAGGCTAGATATGGTAGGAACACATTCTTGTCCACAGTCCCTTAACGAAAAGTAAGCAGAGATGTGTAAACACTGTCCCAAGACCTGAGCCTCCCAACCTCAGCTCTCCTGGCTGTTGAATCGAGGTTTAACTTTTCTAGGGGGCAAAATCACAAAATGACTCTAAACGTGGAGCTGTCTGAAAGTATCCATGCTGAGATCAGCACAGGGTCTTTGTGGTTTGCTCTTTTTCCCTCATTGCACCTAAATCAGAGCAGTGACAACTTTGAAATAGGGAAATATAGTGAAAAAAAAGAAAAAAAAGCCTTTAAATGTCAGACAAATCCCTTGCAGACGCCGGTCCCTCGGAAGACGGCAGGTTGCTCACCATGCATTGAAGCCATTCATTGTCTTTAAGGGGCTTCATTCAAACTACCAGCACTCAAAGACATCACTGCTCAAAAGCTTTGACCCTGTTGTACAGCACACTATTTGTTTCCCCTGGATCCTTTCAACTGTGGTAGCATCTACTTCTACTTCCCAATAAAAAGAGCAACATCCCCTTAGCAGAGCCAGGAGCTGCCAGCCTACACTGGTAGGCACGTTCAGTCCTTTAGACGTCCTCCCCGTTTTCATTGAGGGAGATGGTGTGTATTTTAATGGTTGGCACTTTACAGGTTTCATGGGCAAGGTTCCCTGACGTGCCTGCACAGCAGCATTCCTGGAGGAAACCTTTACTTTTCACTTTGGCAGCAGTACAGTCTTTGGAAACCGCATTTTTTGTGGGCATGCTTTGCACAGCGGAGAATATCTTCCATTCACAGACCCCATCCGACTTGGAAATCTTATAGAAGGTTTCTCCTGAGCCAACGGGGATACGGACCACACCTTTGTCGCTCTCCATGCTTTGGTTAGTGGGACGGTTGAGGTTGAAACTTGGGGATTGCTTCTTTGCTGCTTGCTTCCTTGGGAGACACTGAGCTCTCAGGACATTTTGGAACGCTTTCTTAAACTCTTGACTTGAGCATGGATAGATTATGGGGTTGATGCAGCTGTTTAAATATCCAAGCCAAAATGTTATTTTAAAAAGTGTGTCCGGGGGTTTGATTGCAGGAAAGAAAGAACCTAAAATGGAAAATACACAGAGTGTTAAGGCAAAGGCAGTGAGAAATTGCAGGTAACCAAAGAAACTCAAACACTGGGAAAAGTAAATAAGATTCTGTTCTGTCTTGGAAAATTTATGACTCCAAGCCCAATTCCTGCAGGAACAAGTCTTTCAGAATATATTGTGTCATACAATGACATGGCTGTTCTATCAAAAATCAATTCATCTACTTTATTATACAAGCATTGAATTCCCATTTACAGCCAGAGAGACAAGCAAGGGGACTGGTATTGAGTGATAGGGGAAAATTGCTTCTTCCGGGACTTCTGATTCAAGATAAGTTAGCAAAATAACAGTCATATCTAGGAGGTCATCAAAAGGGTTTCAAATGGCAAGAAAATCACACCATTTCAGAAGTCAGAGTAAGTGAAAAGTAGGACTACTGAGATGACAGTGTTCCAGCTAAAAGTCTTAAAATGATAAAGCATTCGGTACTCCTTTTCCCTTGAAATCTTTAGAAACTCTAACTTTCCACATTTTTCAGTCTCATGGATGTATTTAAAATTCAGAGAAGTTAAAAGAAAGATTTTTTTCTTATGTCAGTGAACACTGGAGAGGGTCTCATGGGCAGCCATTGTATATATATATAAATATATATACTGATATATATACTGATATATAATTGCAAGGTTACCTTCCAGAGACAATTTGAAGAGCAAGAATTTATATGGCTCCTTAGTAAGGAAAGTACTAGGGGACTTTTTATTCTAGAGAAGGCAGGATAACATTAAAAAAATTTGAAATCTTCTGATGAAGTTTATTCAGCATATCATTGACAGAGCCATAAATTCTGCATTCATTATTCCTCACTGTCTTGGCACAACTGTCGACTACAAGTGACCATGCGAATTGAAAATTAAATAGCATTACTAGTACCCTTTTTAAAAAATAGATTCTGATCTATGATCACATAGGATTTAATTATGAGTTATCTGCTGATTTAAAATATTGGAAACATTTTTCCTACTGCCAAACCTTTGGTTTTTTAACTGCAATTCAAGCTCCTTC